CATCGCCCCCCCCCCCCCCCCCCCGATACTTACTAGTTTAGATGTGATTGGTGTTTTTAATTATTGTAATTGCTTCACTTAGGACTTAATTCAGCAAATTTCTCTGTACGTTGCCTGTTTGTCAGTGCTTGTCTGAGGGTAGTTACATGTGTTTAAGGTGTTCACAGAACCGAAATTTTTGATTTCATTTTACCTTTAAATAAGGGAGAGATTTTATTTATTTTTCCACAGAACAGCAGAGGAAGGTTCAGGTTCCTATCCCCTGTTGCCCTTAGGAGTCAGAGTGGCTCATCAGCATATGCTAGGAGAGAGATTTCAGTTGTTTTATACTTCTTGTAAAACAACAGCAGCAGCAGCAAACAAAAAAACCCCACCTAATCCAGGGAGTCTGCAGTAATCTGTTCGGTGAGCTTGGCTATTAGGATGTTTTAGCCCTTGTCCTGAAATGGTGGGATGGTTTCAGGAAAGCTGGTTAGTTCCTGTGGACTAACTCTTGGGGACAGTGAGGCCTGAGCCAAAACCCCTTAAAAACATAGAATCATAGAATAGTTTGGGTTGGAAGGGACCTTTAAAGGTCATCTAGTCCAACCCCCCTGCTAGATTTAGACTAGATATAAGGAAGAAATTTTTTACGCTGAGGGTGGTGACACACTGGCACAGGTTGCCCAGAGAGGTGGTGGATGCCCCATCCCTGGAAACATTCAAGGTCAGGTTGGACGGGGCTCTGAGCAACCTGCTTTAGTTGAAGATGTCCCTGCCCACGGCAGGGGGGTTGGACTAAAATGGATGAAACGCCTCCCAGTGAGTTTAATGGGTTTTCCTCAGCCAAGTCCTACTGGTGTATTTGGGCAGGATCATCATGGCTGTGCTTCTGCATACTAGCAATGTATGAGGTTGTGCTCTCATCATGAGAAAAGGCCTGGAGAAAGCTGTGCTCACAGGAACGAGTGGCTCTTGGTTGCTGCTCATCTTTACTGTTTCTTAATGGATAGGCATGATGGCAACAGCTACCTGTATCCGGGGTTGAATAGGTTGAGAATACCTCATCTGGCCAGCATCTTGCCTGCATGTGCCAGTGCTAACACAGAGCAAGTCTGCCACATCTGCTGCATGGATGTGTGCTTCTCTTCAGTGCTGTGCTTCAAATTCAGAAGAGTGATTCAAAAGAGTAATCCAGATAACACAGACCAATGTCAGATACCAAGCCACAATCCTTTGCGTGCATTGTAGCTGCGCTGTGGGAATCAGTTCTCCCATTCTCTTCCCCTGAATTTTTGTTCGTTTGCCAGGGACAGTTCCAGTGGCTCAGCCTGTCACACAGGCTGACCTGTTGGCAGAAAACTAGCTTTTCCCCTCTTCAGCATCCCACACCTTTTATTGCTTAGGGAGATATATATAGTGTGTCAGTTACAGCTCACATTGAGTAATTTATAAGCTGAATCTAAGTGTTAATATTTCTCATGTTTGCCTCTTGGCCCATTCGGAATGGTTTCCTTTTTCCTGTTGGAAAACTCTTGAGTATATTGATCTCAAGAGGCATATAAAACAGCATTGGTGATGTCAAGGGCATCTGATTCAGGCAATCCTGATACAAAGATATCTGAGTTTTCCCTGAATGTATGTGAATAGTATATACTGGCTATAATCTAGAAGAAATGAGGGCTTGTAGAAACCCAGGTAGAGCAAAAGATCCAGGAAGGCTGAGCAGGAATCTAGAAGAAAAAGGGACTGAGGGAGATATGGACTGCAAATACAGATGGGCAGTGGTAGCAGTCCTCTTTGCCATTGCAGCATAAAGCAGTGATTTGAAAAGCACATAATACCATTGCTAACAAAGAGGAAGAGATCTTGCTTTAGAAATAGAAGTGAGAAAGATTCCTCCCACAGCAGGCACACAAAGTTTTCATCTTCCCACTCACACCACTGCTCCAACAGCATGCCGCCCTGTTTGCATCCTGGCAATTTGCATCCTGGGTTTAGTGAGTTGGGAGACTGGAAGTTGCAGTAGGGGAAAGTGGAACTGCTGAACCCCTGCCGATGGCAGCATGCCCCATGGGTTGGATCTGGAAGCAATCCTTTCCCTCCTAGCTTGAGCCTCATGCTTTCCCTGTCTTGAGGGAGAAAAAGGTTTGTGAAGAGATTATTTAAAATAAAAAAAAAAAAAAAAAAAAACTAATAAAATAAGATTATTTAAATAAAAAAAAAAAAATTAAAAATTGTCAGTGTCTGCTTATTGGATGAGTAACTTAAACATAGTCATCCAAGGCAAGGCAAAATTAAAAATTGTCAGTGTCTGCTTATTGGATGAGTAGCTTAAACATAGTCATCCAAGGCAGCTGTAACCTAAGCAGCCAAAGTCCACTTGAGCTGGGGCTGAATTTGGCCCATTGTACTGTGGGTGTGAAGGAGAGACAAATAAAAGCTGCAGCTTCTTAGGGCTAGGTGGGAGGGAGGAGGCGGGAAAGCCACTGGAGTGTGGTGTTGCATTGACAGTTGATGTGCATTCTTTGAAAACCTGTGCTGCTCATCAGTTCTGGATATAGCAGTATGACAAGTCATTGGGAGACAGGATGCAGTTTGTTAGAAGTGGGACATTATGATGAGTATAGCATCTTTATGAGAGAGTTACGGAGCAACGCTGACTTCAGATTAAGGGATGGGGAAAAATCAGTGTTACTTTGCAAATTGGGCTGGAATCTTCAAAAACTAAATCTTTGGCAAGAGTTACATTCAAAGGGGTCATTTTAATTCAGAATGATGTTTACTTTCAACTGTTCTTTAAATAACTTAGAGCTGTGTGCCTCTAGAGTAGAAACAGCAGAGTAGACTGAAAGGCTTCTGCGATCAGTTAAATCTGGCAAATAGACTATACAAAAGTAATTTATCTTTGCTACTTGAATAACAATAGTTACATTGCACTTTCCTTCAGAAGGAGGCTATGGACATTTATAAGTAGTGTACAAGAGTCTCCCTCATCCTCACTAAACAGCAGCTAGCTCTGTGATAGAGCCACGTCGCTGTTTAGCGCTGCAAGGTTGCAGTTTGGAATGACTTAAAGCAAATAATACAGAATATGAAATCCAAATAATATAGAATATGAAAGGGTCCTTTAAACCTGCAGAAGGTATTTATAAAACTGGAGTTTAGCTAGAGCTAGTAACATCTGTGGAGTTGCAGTAAGTGCATCTGAGTCTTCATGATTCCCAAACACCCAGGATTTTCTTTGGATGTTTCCTCTCACTGGCACAGTATGTTATCAGAAGTATTACTGCTGCATGGGGCGCTTACATCAGACCGAGAGTGACTTCATTTCAGCTTGAACTGCATTCAAAGCCAAAATAAGTTAAATAGGAAGAAGCAATCTTATTTCAGAATAAGTATGCTCATATGGTGATTATACTGTTATGTCAGTTTATTTTGCAGCATAACTTAAAACTTTCTTGTGAAGACAAATCCTTAAAAGGTCGCTTGCGTCTGTGAGTTCACATATCCTCTTGATACATTCTAAGATAGCCACAGGGTTTTGCCCTCACACAGTGACCAACATTGCTAGAGGATACCTTATAAGAAACGTGGTATAAGTGAACAAGTTTGGGGAAGGATGGCCAGGTCAGGGTGTGATCTGGAGAGCTACACTTTGCCTGTGTATCATTGCCTGCAATTTCACTTCTTGTATTTTTCACTTCTACAGAAGTATAGTGTAGAAGACAATAAAAATCAGGTATCCTAAGCACCTAAATTGTCAGATCAGTATCCCTGCTAGAGGAGACATGGTTGTTTTGAAGGTGGATTTTTCAGGTGTTGAGCAATGACCTAAACTTGTTTCCAGTGAAATCAATGCCTCCCATTGATTTTGGTGAATCCCAGTTAGGCCGTTGATAAGCACTTCTGTAAATGCAGCCTAATCCCCAACTATACTTGATCTCGGCAAAAAACCCTCAGCACTAAATTGTCACGCACAAGTATTGTGCAGCTCCATTTTTTTTTTTTTTTCTCCAGCAGGGTATCATGTCCTAGTGACAGAAGAAATGAACCTACCGTCCTTGTTTGTAAAGCGCTTCGGGATCCCTCAGAGCATAACATGAACGCCAGTGGGCTGTGGTTCTCTGCCACCTGGGTTTCAGTTCCAGAGCATGAGACTTTGTCACTTTCTACTTTTTTTTTTCCTTTCTGCCTTTGCAACAGAGCACTTGGCTGCTGTTTGTGAGCAGCTGTTCTGTTTCCCCGTCTGCCCACAGTGGTATCCAGACAGCTGCGCTGTGTGGCAGCCAGAGGTGGCCAGAGCAATGCCCAGCTTTGTTAAAAAGTAACACGATTGGGAAAGAGGGGAGGGAGCAGGAAAATCCGTGACCTGGAGTAGATTCTACAGCACACTGTCAATGGGTGCTGAGAGAACTGGGTGACCTCCGTGTCCAACTAGAGATGCATTTTCTATGCATCTGTCACAGTAAGATTCACCTGCTGACTCAGAGAAAGCCGTTAATCACGAGGTGATGCTGAAGTTCTCTGGGAAAGGAAGTATTGCTGACAGTGGCAAACAGCTTATGTTCATGTCTCGTGGAAGCTTAAATGTGCATAAGTGTGTGTTCAGCATCTGCTCTCCTCATACTGCATGACTCGGACACAGAGAGGGTCAGGTGTGGCTAAGAACAGGCCTGTGATGTGCAGTATGACACTTTTTTTTATTTCTTGCAGGCAGCTTTCTTGTGGATGCTAGGGCATTATATTTAAGTATTTGTCCATTCTTGGTTTTATGTGTATGTTTTTCCAACGATGATCATAGTGTCTGTTTCGTGGTTCCACCTTTGAGCACTTACAAATTAGTGAGGAACAATTCAATGTGCATGAAGCTATGTGGTAGGCTTGTGGCATGTCAGGATTTCAGCTTTTGCCCAACTTAATATTTCTTTTCTTTGTATTCCAGAAAAAGGCATGGCATACAATTAAAACCATGGTTAACTTACCAGTCATCAGCCCCTTCAAGAAACGCTATTCATGGGTGCAGTTGGCTGGGCATACAGGTGAGATGGGTATCTTCAGTGTATTTGTCTCTGGAGTGGGGATGGCAGCAGCAAGGAAAACAGTGTTTCAGTATTTCTCTGTTTCCTTCCTTCAGGTAAAAGGAAGCAGGCAATATCACGTGAATCTGTGAACTAGAACATCTTTCCTTCAGTTGTGGTGGGGATAGGGAAGGGGGAGTGATATACCTGAATAACGAGATGAGCAAGGAAGCAATGGTCAGACTCTGGGGAAGGGCCAGGCTCCCGATGCGTTCTTATAAGGTGATATATGTAAAATATGTGTTAGAGGGAAACAAGAGGGACTGGGGAGTTGAAGCCCTAGTCCATCTGTTGCTGTTGGTTGTGGTATGGGATCATCTTTCTTGACGGGAGTAGCCAATGTTAGTTCCCTAACATTGGGAAGGATTACTGTCTGTGCCTATGTGTGCCTCAGCCCTGTCAAGGACAGTGTTTCTAATACCAACCCCAAACCCCTCATCTGAATGTAAGCCCTTGGGTGGAATAAAAATCTGGTGAAAATTGACTTGCTGACCAGGTGTTTGCATTGCAAGTCTGTCATTGTTCACTGTATGAGTGCAAGGAGCAGCTCAGTTAGCTGGTTCTAGTTTTGTGTCTGTGGAAGTTGGTAAGTTGCTCCTGATGTAGGCTTTGTTTCATTGGTAAGACAAAAAAAAAAACAGAGAAGTCATCAGGTTTGCTTCTCTCATGCTTCATTTAATTCCTATGAAGCCCTTGTTCCTAAAGTGCTAGTGCGGGGTTTATTAGTACACATGTGGGCAGGCACCTACGCTGCATCGTGCTTTAATGCAGTACCTGAACCACCTCTTTATATGCTAATACACTAATATGATGCACTTCAAAGCTGTGCAGAGAAATTTATTTAGTCCTAGAAATGGAGTAGCTGCATTTTGCACAGTGGTGTTGGTGGGGCTGACTTGTATCACGCAGAGTGCCAAGATGACCCAGTCTTATTGCAGTTTTTATCACAGTGTGTATGGGGTTGGCATGATTTGTGTGGAGTGATGCACTGGTCGTGTAATCATAACCCTTCTGGAGGCTTGTGTAGTAGGGTGGAAGAGGAGGGTTAAGAGGTTACTAGAAGCTGATGAGGAAAGATACTGCCCCACTTTGCTTTAGATAGTTTTCTGTGGTTGTATTTAGTCCATCCTTTTTGCAGCTGTTCTTCTCTGATATGACAAGTTCTTTCTAAACTAAAACCTGGCCATCACCACCCTCGCCCTTGTGCTGCAGCAGTGTCAGTTCTAGGATTTGTCAGAGAAGAACCAGTTTGCAGTGGCTGAAGGACCCTGCTATGATACAAGTTGAGCGTTAGACCCAGGATTAATGAGGCTCCTACTTTGGCACCTATTTTATGTCGTGTAGGTTAAAGGGTACCTCTGAATGAAACGTGTACTTTCCTCAGACGTTATTGGCAGGTTGCAGGACAGGAGAGTGACTTCCGCAGCTGGAGTCTAATTACTGCCAGTCTTGGCCTATGCAGATTGTCATTTGTACTGGATACCATTCAGACACTGGGTTGTAAAAAACCAATTGCACTATAGGCATATCTGCAGATTAGCAGGGCTCTGGAGAAGAGGCAGTACCTGGAGGTACACGCATGCGCAGTCACAGCGTGTGTGTGTAGAAAGGGCAGTGCTTGGCTTCTGGCCTGTTCGTGGCTGTTTAACGATCACTGATTGACCGTACTGCCTCGGTACGTACACAATCGGCAGGTATACCCGATGTGGGGATTAAGGACAAAGCCAACGTTGGCAGTGTTATGCAGCTCTGAAATAGCCTGTCAGAGGATTAATGAATTCTGGTTCGTGGCTTCTTCCTGTGCTTTTTAGTAAGTATAGTAGTGTTTAATAACCTAACAAAGAGTTTAGCATGGAAAAAAAAAAAAACAACGGATGGCCTGGAGCAGCTGCACTCCTTAAAGCTATAAATTCTGACATGGGAATGTATCCAAATGGACTTTCACTGCCAACAGCTGTGTTTGTCCTGGGTGTTTTATTTTTTATGAAAAGCATGTTATCTTTTCTGTTCAGGGGAAATCTTTAACTGGTGTCATGAGGCTGAGGTAGATGAAGCTGGAGTGGTGGGGGAAGGTGTTTTTCTTTTTTGCGGGTCAGTCTTGTCAGCGTGTGTTTGATTTTCTTTTTTAGGGAGTTTCAAGGCAGCTGATAGTGGGAAGATTCTCAAACGCTTCTCAGAGAATGAAAAGGAGTGTTTTGAGCGATTGATGAAAGACCCGCTACGTTCCTGTGTCCCTTGCTTCCATGGTGTGGTGGAGAGAGATGGCGAGAGCTACATTCAGCTGGATGACTTGCTTACTGATTTCGAAGGGCCTTGTGTGATGGACTGCAAGATGGGGATAAGGTGGGGTACATGAAAGAGAAAGTGCTTTCTAACCCAAATGCATTTGAAGGAAGTGGGAGAAGGGGAGGATGTGGTCATGCTCTGTCTGGAGGAGTTTGGTAACATTTTTGGAGCCTTAGGATTCAGTCCAGACAACCTGTTGTTGGTTTGGCAATCGCCTTGGACAACCTGAGAGAGTATGTCCCGTCGTTGCCTGATTGTACATGGATTCTGTAAACTGACTGATTTATAGCCTCAAAAAGTATCCACATCAAGATATTTTTAGGGGTGATTTAAGACAAAGTTTCTCTGCAGTGGCGTGATAATACATAGGAAAAAAATTACACGATTCATTCACTGCCAGTTCATTTAACCTTTGTGTATGCAGTGATTCAGAAAACCCCACAAAGAGTAAAATTCCCATCTCCAAATGTGAATGACTGCATAGCAGTGTGAAAGCCCATTTCCAACGCTTGAATGAGTCTTCGTTGGTATTGATCTTTTCTGTAAAGAAGAGAGTTGACCATCTGCTCAGGACTGACCTGTGTTTTTCCCTACTCTGACATCTCCACAATGCTATCACCTTTTTCTCCAGATTCTCACTTTCTTTTCCTTTTCTTGTCTGTGATTAAGAGGAAAACCTAAAAAATGTTATCAAAGCATAACAAATAGATAAGGAATCTGTTGAGAGCCTGGAGTAACAGTACAGAGAGGTATGAACTGTCATAGTAGTCTTTTGGGTGCCAGCTCAGATGCTCAAGAGTTATTGTCATAAATGAGTTATTCAACTTACAGGAGTGCAGACAAGCCATTTCAAATAGATGAAGGATCTTAAATGAATTGTCAGCTAAATCAGAGTAGAAAGTGTAGCACTGGTACGCCCAGGAGAAAGAGGAGAAGGATTTGCAGCAGTACATATTTTATTCAAAGTAGGTGACATTCTGGTAATGAGTGACAGCATCTCCTAAATACCAGCCTGGGTTATTACACTGTGATGAAGAAAGTACACTCAGGCGCCTGACAAAGTGCAAGCTTTGTGGAGAGAGACAAGCTCTAGGAGTCCAGTGGAACGTAGGGAACATGGATAGTACCTTTCTAACAGTTACCAGATTAACGGGTTGAGTGATAACAGCAAAATGTGGAAGGCTTGTCACCCTTCACCTTCCCGTTGTTAGTAACCTCTTCTGGTTTGGAGTTGCCCGGATAATCTGCTTTACTCTTTCATTTTTACTATATGAAGAGTGATTCTGTCTTTCATTGTCTGATGCATTAAGTGAAACCTTAATTGCTTTCTGAGGCCTAAAAAAATCACACATAATGATGTTAGGTTTTTTTGAGGAGAGAGAAGACAGTAAGACTTCAGCAGCCCTATTTGCTTTTGATTTCATTGTAAGATCCCTCCTAACTGTCCTCTGAAAATACAGTTGTATTTCATGGCACAGTAGGAATTCAGCTTTCTCCCATTCAGTAAGGAGGACATAACAATAACATGTAACAGTAGTAAAGCTATAGTTAGAACAAGAAGTGAATGACACAATTCCTGATTCCTGCAACTGTTTCACTAAATATGCCTGTGCAGTCATTAGTCCGTGTTCTTTAGTTTCCCCATATGCAAAACTGGGGTAATGATAATACTTTCTTGGTTGACATTTCTTGAGGCCAGGTTATAAGTTGTAAAAAGAAATGTTTGGGGAGTCCTTACGGTTTTGTTGGGATGTGATGTTTTTGCAGGACATACCTGGAGGAAGAGTTGACTAAGGCCCGTGAGAAACCAAAGCTGCGTAAGGACATGTACAAGAAAATGATTGAAGTGGATCCTCTTGCTCCCACAGCTGAAGAGAATGCCCAGCATGCTGTCACCAAACCCCGATACATGCAGTGGAGGGAAACCATCAGCTCTAGTGCCAACCTGGGCTTCAGGATTGAAGGGATTAAGGTAATAGCTTCACTTCTGCCTGTTCTTGGAGACCGAACTTTTTTGATTTGTTGATTAATCAAAAAGTTAGTGCGCATCAGTAGCCAGGTTTTCCAAAGGATTATGTGAAAATGCACTAATTAAAACCACAGAGTACAGTGTATTGTGGTTTTAAAGCATCCATAGTAATTACAACAGAGTAGCGTCAATGAAGTTATGCATCAAATGCACATCAGCCATACTTGGTTCAACCACAGAGACATTGCAGGAAGGACCCAAGCAGGTACACAGTGTAGATACAATGAAAATGAGACTGTTATAAGGAAGAATTCAAAACTGAAGAAATAACTGCCTCTCCCCATGCAATTACTTTTTTTTAATCCAGGAACTATACACATTTATTCCAAGTGAATCACAGTGAAGTGTTTTTGTTCCAGTTACGTTTATTTGCAAGTCATGTTAAAAGCATTAGCTTAGATATTCTTGAGATTGAGGAAGCCCCTTTTCCTTTTAAGTACATGACAATATCTGGTATAGACGGAGCTGGAATAAAGACAAAACAACCAAAAATAAAATTTCTCCATCAACAAAGTCCGTCTGCTGTTCTTGATGGAGAAGTTTGTGCCCCTATACCATTCCTTAGGGCACTACCTTACAGCCATAGAACAACCCTGGCAGTTTTCTTTCCTCCCCATTAATTCTTTATATTTGTTGTGCCCCATGGCAATGTCAGACACCTACCCAGAAACCCAGTAGGACCTACTCTCAGAATATCAGCCACCTGACTCAGTTACTTGAATGTTAACACTTGCTGGAATCCAGAACCATGCTTTCTGCTTGCATAGGCCTGTCACAGCTAGCCTTAAACTAGTTTGCTTGGGTTTAGATACTGGTGTACCTGTAGCAGCACAGAGCATGGTGAAGGCTGCCCAAACCCACCCGCGCCCTGGATGAGTACTTGTTACCTGAAGCCCATGATGGGACAGCTATGAAGAAGTTCGCATGGGTTACCCTGTGTGATTTCAGGATGTTCCCAGAGTATATACGTTTAATTTAGGTATCTTAGGACATTGTAAATTATTATCTGGATGAGTTTTGCTTCCATTTCATAGTTCAAGCACACAGGAAGAAGAAAGGGATAAAAGAGGGTGACGCTGATAAGCAGAGGCTCTTTAAACATCCCTTTCTTTTCTGCTTCCCCGTGTTGTCTTCTCCCTTCCTCATTCACAGATTCTCCTGCTGTGATATGGGAACTAGGGCTTCCAGCTCATGCTGTGCTGGCCCCTGCACGCTGTGCCACCCACTCCTGGCTGTTAGACACAGGCATCTTTGCGCAGGAACCGTCTGGGTGGTAGATGATCTGGCTCCTGTCCACCCAAGACACTTCCTGTCTTACCCTTTAGCCATCTAACAATGTTGTCAAGATACCTGTTTTATTCCTAAACCACTTAGGTCTTTGGATGCTCTGTGTAATGGACTCGGAAACCCAGATGATCTCAAGACCTTTTATATATGTTCTCGGAAAGGTAGTTGGTCAGTGTAGAAGACTTACAGATTTATGTTGAGTCCTGGAGAGTGACTGAGCTGAGGGAGCACAAGGAGCTCCAGTAAAACCTCCTGGCTTGTTCTTTGTGGTTTGGCTGGTTATCAGAGGTGGGTAGGAGCAGTATGGCATGCAGACTGCATGATATTTCCCTCTGTTGAGACAATGCTGTAACTGTGCAAAACAGGACACACATACTTAATTTTTCATTAAGCACAGGAAATGCTTTGGAGTACTGTAGTGCATTACCTTTTCCTCTATCTCCCTGTGCTGTTACAAGGGATGTAGGTGGTATTCTCTTTTTTTTTTTTTTTTTTTTTTTTTATGGAGAAATGGTGACAGAAACTGAGTTGTTAAAGCAATACAGCTAGTCAGTACTCCCTACACTGTTTCACTGTAGCTGAACTGTACATCCAGTTCTGTATATTTGCAGAAAAGCAAAGCCATGCTGCAGATTCTCATTTTGAGAGGAGAGCCTAAAAGGATCAGTGGTGCCAGCTAGTGGTTGATGGGGAAAAAGGGGTTTCTCCCTGAGTGTACTGCTAACTGCTGGAGTTAGCTGAACAGCTATGTTGGGTTTGGTCATTCAGAAATATTCCTGCCCTGTGGCTGCTGGAATAAGAAGCAGAAGCAAAGAAACTGAAATCACAGAAGCCCTTCTGTGAAGTGGCTTCCAATAAATGAGATCTGATTCATCATATGCACTCCCTCTTCATCAGTGGGGTGCCTTTTCTTTTCAGGTTGATCCATCTCTTTTTCTTGCCTTGCTTCCATATCTCTGAAATCAGGCCGGGTTCACTTACGGGATTTGTCCCGCTTCCTCTTATCAAAAATAGTTGGAACCATTGGGTTTCCTTACAGCTGGCACCTGACACTCAGTCTCTTGTGCCTGCCAGATTCAGAATGCAGGTTTCCTCTCTGGAAGGGGCTGTCTGAAGGCTAGGCATCACAAACATTGTCTCTACAACACTAATAGTTTTGCAGAGCAGAGATGCATGGGGCTGAGAATCCAGAGTTCTGGCTTCCCATTCTGTCACTGAATCTCTGTGCAGTTCGGGAAGTTACTTCTTCTTTTGGTGTCATTCCTTTAGCTGCAGATCAGGGATAGCCATTTTTCCAGGAGGACGTCAGATTTGATTCATAAATCTTTGTGAATCCATTTTAGGTCACGACCTTAACCCAGAGCCCTTTAAGGGAAGTCTGCAGAGGAATCTGAGCAAGACCACACAGGTTAAGATAGGTAGCACTATTTTATGGAGCAGCCAAACCTGCCCTCCTGCTAGCCGTGTCACTGTCACATCTAATGAGAAGTGCTGCAAGTGGCTCACTAGCTGCACTGTGCAAAGGACTGCTCTGCTGTGCAGGAATGTATGTGGAGGCCCTGACAAAGGCATGACTTCAAGGAGCAAGTCAGGCAAGCGCCTCCTGAGGATCAGGTACATCCAGAGTTGTTGCAAGGACCTGGTATAGAATACGAGGGATGGTGCCATTCAAAATCTGGATGTTGTTTGCAGCAAGTAAAGTCAGGCAGCAGTTACGTTTCCTGCCAACCACTGCAAAGGAACGAAATCATAAAAGTGTTTCTAAACAACAGGGAAGCAAGCAATTAGTCTTTCCAGACAAAAAAGGATGAAAAGGGAACACGCAGCAGCTATTCCAGACTTTGCTCTGGGATTTGGGGCACAGGGAGAACTTATTTTTAAAACAACCTTACTCCAGTGAAGAGGTACAAGGCATCAGACTAAGTTCCAAATTTCTATGTGCTGCTGAGTATTATCATACATCAGATCAGATGGCTCCTAACTTTCACTGCCTACCTGCTGAACTTCTCTTGCATAACTTACACATCTCATCAGGCTGACATGCCACACTTGTATCTGGCCCACAGCCTTGGAATAAAATTCTGTTTATTCTGCTGCTAGAAAGTCTGGTAAGTGGGAGGCTGTTCTGCATGGCTTTGCCATTCAGTCAGTTCATTCTCTTGCATGATAGATCTGGAAATTTAGCATTATCAGATTTTTTCGAGGATATACTAGGGGGCGAGTTCTGCTGTGGAGTAAACAGTGTTTCACCTGCTAAGACTGGAGCGGAATTTACCCAGTTTTGTTGCAGTGACTTTTAACATGTGCGAGGGAACACATTTTGATGACCTGTTGATTTACTCTTATAATGGACATGAGGGATTTCATTGGACTGATACGATGGAGAGGAATACAGTTTGATCATATTGCAGGCTTTTAGTGGATAAAGGCTATCAACTGCAATAATTGCTGTATTTTACATGCATGTCCTAAAAGCTCATATTTGTGTCTCTTGAAGCAACAGGCATGTTCCTGGAGAAATGCATATTCGTATAGTCTATGTTGACAGATACCTCTGATTCGTGCACTGCTCTTGCTTACTTGTAGCCCCACAAGCACAAGCTGGTCACTACCACCACATAAAAAGACTTGTTTTTTCAGTAGCAGGATGATTCTGTACTGAGTTGTACCGCTAGCCCGAAAATAGTCTGAATTTCTCTAGGACCCAGCTGGATACAAGCATGCACACACTGTCCTTTGCCAACATTCATGCACCTGCTTTGTCACTGCTAGCATTTGTGTCACTGCTAGCATTGCAAATTCAGAGTTGTTCTTGGCTGCAACTAGCTTTCCATTCTGTGACTTCTGGGTCACATTAATGTGCAAAGGTATATTGGGAACTGAGTCTTAACGGCAATTCTTTGATTTCCCCATTGAAAAACAAACCAAAAAAACCCAAACAAAAAGGACTAGTAAAATTTGGTTTGAAAATGTCCCCTTACACCCCCAGCCAGGGTTTGACTACACCAAGCTAGATGAGAGGACAACCAAAAAGGTCACTGTGGTTTGCCCCATTGAACTTTGCACTGCTAGTACTGACATGTGAGAGAACCCTCCTGCAAGCTGGTAATATCATGAGTTGTTTTTTTTTAAACTGCACTCAACAGGAAATGAAGTGCCACTTAAAGTTATCCAATCAGCTTTTGTATCTTTTCTCCACTTCTTGCTTGGTTTATCTGCTCTCTTCCTGTTCAACTACTCACTTTCATCTGGTTAGCAAGAGCTGAGTGATGGTTCAAGAGGATTGACTGATGAGGGGAATGATATGTATGTAGTATAAATCATCTCTGTGTGTTTTTGTGCAGAAGGCGGATGGAACATGTAACACAAACTTCAAAACTACGAAGACACAGGAGCAAGTTCTACAAGTTTTTGTGGAATTCATTGAGGGCAACACAACTATTCTGGTGAGTCTGAACTCTTCAGGTTCACTGATCTTTGACCTGATGAACTTGCTTCAGGGCCACGTGTCCTCTGGTACAAGAAAGATCAATTAAACTATAAAGGAAGAAAATGGTTTGGACTTCCATTCCCTCTCAGCAGATGGAGTGGACATGGGGACTTGGTGGGCTATGAGAGTAGTTGGCTGAGACCAGTTCTGGCAGCTCTTGCCATGAGTTCACCTGAAGTTCCTCATGCTAGCAAAACATCGGTTAAGCTAACTTATGACTTGCCATCAGCTTCAACCATGAGTGTTAGATGCAGCAGTGGGATGATGATGTCTAAGCAAGTATTGTGTTGGCAGGAAAACTTGTGATTTGGGAATTCAGTCTGGAGAGGATAAAACCAGAGCATGGGGGCAGGAAGTGAGATTGGTGGCTGGCTGTGCTCCTATGTGTGAGACTCGCCTCAAAGAGCAACTCGTGTATGCTACTTCATGGGCAGCACCGCAGGCATGTGGTAGATGGCATAACATGTCTCTTGTCTTTGGAACTTCAAAGGATGCCATAGTGTTTTGCTGCAGTGTAGAAGCCATTGTGAAGGCAGATTAGCCCTCCAGGAGGAGCATGCTTGGTAACACAGGGCAGCATTAAAAGCGTATACTAGAGCTTTATGTATTGGGCCTTGATTTTTTTTTTTTTTAAATTCCCTTCCCCCCGCCCCCACCGCCCAACACAGTTGGAGCTCCTTGTCTCTCTAACACAATTTCATTCTCTCTTCACTGTGAAGAACTGAAAGATTTTTAATTGCTTGCAACTTTTTTCTCTTTATTAAAAAGAAAAAAAAAAAAGGGATGCAGAAGGTGTGCAGCCAGATGCTACCTCACTGCATCCGAAGCAAGACAGATAAGTATGCTTGCTGTGACGCATGCGGCAGAGGAACTCCAGTCTGTTCATTCACTATGAAAGCCTGTTGAAGTGTGTTTTCAGATTGACTTTCAAATGATGAACCTGTTGTTTTGAAGGACTTCTAGCCTAAATTTAACATGATCTCTTCATTATATTGACTCTTGTAAACAGAGTATCATCATTCATTCTTTACTTAAATGTTTACGGGTTGTTTTTTTCTCCTTTTTCTCCAGAAAAAATACCTCAAGCGTCTGCAGGAAATTCATATCATTCTTGAATCCTCAGACTTCTTCAAGCGACATGAGGTGAGCAGTGAATGTAATGCTGTGGAGGTGCATTGCTGCTTCGTTTGGTCATTCAGATGTACTTCGGAATAGCCTGCTGTATTAGTAGAAAGGAGTTTGTAGTAGAAGAAAACTACTTGTTGTTAACAACACAGATACCTCAAAGCCTTCATTGCAATGATACAGATGATTAAACCAGTTGTGGAATAATAAATCATCCCATCTTTATAACATCCCAGCACTTATAGCTTTGGGCCACAGCAGGGAATGGTTTATTAGTACCAGTTTCCTGTGGTTTCTCTAATCTCAGAGTGTTCCAGTGGGAATCTTTATGGGGGAATGGTAATGTGGAAGCTTGCATTTGGTACAGTAGCATTCAGTTGTAGTTTGACAATGAAGACTTTATTAGTTATACTGGATTTATGCTGAAACACTGTATAATTCTGCTCTATATGTTCTCCTTGTATGCTTTGCTGTGGAGAAGGCATCATTAGCATTGTAAGTTATGCTTGTTACAGCTCCAGATTTTGAGATCAGGTATTTTGTTTGACCTTGTTGATTTCCTCTTGCCACTAGAGGCATTTTTGTTAATCACGAGTCATGGTCTTTCTTTGAAAGTAGTCACTGGCTTTTGTTGAATTGCTCAAATTGAGACCTGCTGCCAAGTGAGCTGGAGAATTGCTTTTCTTCCCTTTGTCTACTTGGGTCCCTTTTCCCATCTACAGGCCCATTTATACATTACTGATTAATATGGTTATGCAAATTGGGCATGTAAATTGTCAATGTGTAAGCACAACCCAAAAGTCTGTTAGGTCACAGGTGAAGAGGTCATCTGAGGAGGTAATCTTCTTAGTGGGAAGCGTTAAGTGATGGGAGAGAGCCAAAGATGTGTTTTTTTAACCACATCATCTCAATCTGTCTTCCAGGTCGTTGGAAGTTCACTACTCTTTGTACACGATGGCAGTGGGAATGCCAATGTGTGGCTGATTGATTTTGGAAAGACCACCCTTCTCCCTGATGGGCAGACACTGGATCACAGGATCCCCTGGCAAGAAGGCAACAGGGAGGATGGGTACTTGTTGGGACTGGACAATTTGATTGGCATCTTGGAAAGCATCACTGAAAGATGAGTTGAGAATGGCACAAAACTTGCAGGGCTGCTCTGAAACTTTCTGCTCTACTGGGATCACTCAGTTAGAAGGAAACCTTTTAACTCCCTCCAAACTCCTGAGGTCATCAGTACAGAGGGAGCTGCATCCAGAACCCAGCAGTTAGTCATCAAAATGACTTTGCATTGGCCCTCCATGAACCTAAATAACTCCAGATTGGTCTGTATTGCACCAGCCTAACTTCAGACTGGTCCTCAGAGAATGAAGATCTCCATACTCTGGAATCACACCAGCATGAGTCAAGAGATCTGTATGGTAAACCAGAATGATTCTGATTTCTGGCAAACAGATGGGACTCCAGATTACCTCTTAGTGAACCAGAGCAAGTGCGTGGGGATTCAGGGTAGAAATAACAATTTTTCAGGGAACTGCATAGTTTTGAAACCAGCAAGAGTGTTGGTTCCCCTCCCCCCCCCGAATTCTAAGTCTCCTTGCCTCTGTGTACACTATAGGTTGGACCAACAACTTCTGCTGCATTGTGTTACAGTGTGCACAAGGTGGAAATGGGTGATAATCACAAGAAACCTAGAGCAAAGAGAGACAGCAGTTTGTAGTGGCTGGATGTGGTAACTGCTGTTGACCATTCCTCCTCTTCCCTACCCTAGCCTCGATTCACTTCTGTCCAAGAACAGTCTTTGCTTTTATGTAGCCTCTCAGGAGATTACAAATACTCTAGGGAGAGAATAGCAGCCTATTGTCTCCAAAAACATTTGACTTTCAGACTGGGTGGGCTGCTGGAAAAGTGCCTGGCTTGGCAAGTTTGGCCTCTTGCAGCTGAACTGCAGTTCTGAAAATCAGTAATGACTCTTTCGCACACAGACCAGGGAACTAAGGTTTTTTTTCCAAGGCTTGTTTATTTTTCAAGACAAAACCCCTATGCACGTGCACACACACGCTCGCACTAGTAGCCAGCAATCAATGTGATCTCTTAAGATCATGGTTTGACTGTCTCCTAATGCACATGACTTGTTGGCCATGTTCCTGTTCCCACATACGATGCGGCCACTTAAGTATATAGACTGGTGCAGCGATCAGGAGGGTAATGTTTCTGCATTCACAGCATTACACTAATGATGAGATAATTCCCAGGCATCCTTCCTCCAAGGTATCAGCTGTTAACTCAGGGCAGTTTGGGGGAAGGAATGTCAATATATCACATGCCCTAGTCCCTGTCTGGAATTGCAGGGCCATCTGTGGTTCATTCTTTTGCTGTGGCCCAGGCACAGCCACAGAAAATTTACAGTGTTTAGGTGAAAATCAAGAAAGACTGAAGTGGTTTCTTGTAATGGCTTCACATACCTTCTCTCTTGGTTGCTTCTAGTCACTTGAACAGTTCTTTAAATACTAGCAGTATAAATACTATCAGTATTCACATGTTCACTCACATTCCAGGTTTTAACATTAATAATGTGATGATGCAGTTTTCAAAATGAGGACAAGACTTATGTTACTATTTGGTTGTTAATCTCCTTTCAACATCTAAAGCTGGTAATGCACATTGATCAGAAATTGCTGTCTTTTGCCAGTGTCCTATGTTCAGAAGAGATTCTGAGAACTTCAGGATACATGAAGGTGACTCCATGCTTTGGGAAACTGCTGTTTCGATAATAATCGTGATCACGAGCAAAAAAAGACTGTAGAGTCCAGATCTGGAATGACATGTATCTATAACATTTGTAATCAGAATTGAACAGCCTAAAATAATTTCTAAAAGGTGTTACTTTAGATAACACACTACTGTACTAAGAGATCAGCCAGATTTAATAACTTTTTCATCACCTCTAAACAAAACAGCAGTATTAAAAATGCAAGCTCAGTTGTGACCTAAAAGTTTAGACGACATACAGTGGGTATTCTGTAGGAAGTAATGACACATGGAAACATTTCATCCTAAAACAGAAGTTGTTTGAAACTGTTAATTATTTTTGCAGTTCACTGCAAATTCAGACTTCTTCTGTGGCCTCCCAGAGTCCCTCTCAGTTCTGTTTTCCTGATAGTATGTTAATGAATTTTCCACTCAGATGTTTCAGAGGGTTTATACTTTCTTTTTAAAGTGACAGCGAGCCTTCAATAGAGAGCACAGATATTATCATTCCAGATGCCTCCTAACTTTTGAACTGTTATGAGATGACAAATAAATCTGTGGTGAATTTCATACAATTTAAAAAAAAAATCTTCCTCCTTTCCAGCAGCCAACAGGTAAGCCACTGGTGAGCAGTGCTTAAGGAGAATAGGAATTAAATAGGTCTCACAGGGGAGGACTTTAATAATACCTTTTCTATGAGACCTGCAGTTGCAAGCAGTCCTACCGTAATAAAAAGAAAAATTAGAAAAGTTAGAAATGACACTGTTAAGGTGATAGAATTCATTAGTGGTTTGCCTAATTAATCTTCAGAGTTAAATTTCTTTCTTCTGTTACCACATGTAAATCTTTTGCACCAGTGTAACTTACTTTCTAGAGGGGAAATTTGGAGGGTAAAAGCTGATGCTCAAATGTCAGTTGAGAATTTGAGACAAACTTTTAGAATGACTGTCCAGTTCTAAAGGAGAACTAGAAGCAACGTGGCACCAGTAGCTTCAAAAAACCCAAGTGCTGCTTAGCACCTGGATGGTTTGCAATACGTGGTCTTGGGGGAAAACATGGAGAATGATCCATTCCTCTGCAGTAGTTGAAAAGGTCAGGGAGAAAAGAAAACCTCTGCTATAGCAGACCTTGGTCTGGAAACTCATTCTAGATGATAAATAGTTCTAGCAAGTTAGTTTTGAAATGGCCCTTTGGCTTGCCGAGGGTTTAGAAGGGAAGAAGCCACAATCTTCTGCTGCTGTTGTGGGAAAGGAGAAAAGGAGGCAGCTTTTCATCAGCAAACTGCAAGTGTAGGACTGCAGCTGAGCACTGGAGCTCTAAGGGGCTGGAGGCTAAGAGCTCATGAGCAAACTACCACAGGGTAAGTTAGATACCTTGATTCACATCAGATGGCCCAGAGTGCCTGTCAGTGCACACTCACTTGCTAGTGTGAGGAAGCAGCATAGCCTTCTTTCACTATGGAGTAAGTTGCCTTGAATAAGCTTATATTTACCAGAGGGTCAACATGATGCCTTTGCACAGGCATGTAACATAGAAGAGCTGATGCATGATAACCGAGGTACTTGTTTACATACAAGTCCAGAATGTAGTTCTGTAATGCCTCCGCTGAGATATTGCCTCACTCCGGAGGCACCGAGAGCACGTGTGTTTGAACAGCATGGTAAGATATGCTGGCCCAGAGGCACTTTGGTGCTGAACAGCTAACCTCTGACTTAGGCACCAAGGTCTTTAAACTCACTAGTTAGATGCAGCACTGCTTACTGCTCTGCTGCATTGCGTTCCTGCGTGAATCTATCAGTAGGACTTCTCTCCCTCAATTTTGGCAGTGACTTGGTTTTTTGGCCTTGGACAACTATCCTAGGCCTCAGTTTTGTTCCCATTTTACAGATGGGAATAGTACCTACTTACCTCACAGGAATGGTGTGAGGCTGTCCTTCATTATTGCTTGCAAGATGCTGTGAGATTCTTTGGAGGAAGGTGCAATATAGAAGGAAATGCACAAAGAGATACATCAGCAAAGTTTAAAAATGATGGGTGTTGGGGCCCCACAAGGATATAAATTTGGATGAAATTTAATCAATGTGGTAAAAATTAAATCCCTCTTAATTTTACACGGGGGAAATCCACTTAACATCTGATCCAGTTCCTATTATAGGGAAAGATTTCAATGGGAGTTGGACCAAACCCTTAAGTATCTCAGAGGGCTCTTGCTATTTTTTTTCGTATTGCTGTTGTTATTATTTGTTATTCTTAAGGTACTGAGATCAAATGGCCTGTATCATCCACAGTGCATCTGTTCTGAACACTACAATGCAATGCTGACCATGGTCACTTTTGACATTGACTGTATTGGTTGAGTGTTTGTTATTCTGAAGTGTGTATGCTACTAAATAAATGAGACTGGAGGAAAAAAGACATCCACTGTGGTTTGGTCACAGGACAGTAATGTCTTTTCTTCAAGAATTTCCTTAGGGAAGGGACAAAAACTATTTATTTCAGTGTTTCTTGTACTTTTAGTCTTTAGCATCTAATATTTCCTAAAACAAAAGCGGTTCTAAGACATACAGAAGCTAATGTTGGAGCTTGGTTCCAAAACCCATTAGATACATTTGCTTTAGAACCTGATCCACACAAAGCTCAACAGCTTCCTTCGAGGTAAGCTCTGTCTCAAAAATCTCAGTTCATAGCCTACAGTATATCAAAAACTTGTGATCGAAAGGCACTTGGCAGACTCACAGCAGTTAACTGTTCCACAGGGCAGTTTTGTGTGGTGGCAGGGAACAAGCAGTCAACCCTCCAGGACTGGCAACACTTCTCAGCAAGAGAGGTGTCCTCTTACCTGTGTGCAAAGAGTACTTAGCAGAGAGGGAAACAAATAACCACCATTAGTGTCTCTTTATTTTGTGTTGCAAATATAGAAGTATACACTTGTCCAGCTTTAAATTGCATAGAAGCAGGCATGTCATCTACTTATGTACAGTAGTCACCCAGAAAGTAAGTTGGCAAGAAGTGCTGCCATGGTCAGAGGTAATGACAAATCAAAACCTATTCAACTAAATGAAAAAGTCATGTGATGAGATGGGAGGATGTTAGTGATGTCATGCCTAAGGTCTCCGCATCAGATTGAAAAGGGTAGGCAGCCAGGAGAGAGCATGGCCACATCTACAGGAGAAACTGTCTCGCAGAGCTCTGCTGCTCAAGGGTCTGAGGAAGCGTGGTCCCTGGCTGACACAGCTGTGGAGTTGCAAATACATATTGGGGAAAAACCATACTCCCAGCAGTAGCCTTCTCTTTTGGGTAAGTAGGGGGAGGGTACTGGAGATGGAGTAAGTTACACTTGCAAAAGCCTGTAACTATTTAATTAGACTTGCTAAGCTTTCTCAGTGCACACCTGCCCGTTGGCAAATCAGTGGAGAACTTACCTCAGGAAAAGGGTTGATATGAGGGGACACCTTAAATCTCTGCAGTTAAAAATTCTGTTTCTTTAAAGGGTAAATGAAGATACAAAACACTTAAGTTGAGGAGAGAAAGGAAAGAATTCGGAAGCAAGAATATCATCAAATGTGAAAAGAAAGCAGAGAAAGGCAAATTGAAATTTGCATTATTATTTCATCTTTTGTTATTCAGTCCCCTCTTTAAAATGTAGGTGTGAGGTTGTATGAAGCAACATAAAGTACTAATGCTGAGCCCAGAAGAAAGAAACCCAACAACTATATACACAAATCTAAAACCCAGTTGGTAACATGGTAAAAGACAGACACCCATCAGGAAAAGCAATTTATAATAATCCTATAAATGGCTGATTCTCCAGTGGGGAAGTGTTGGAAGACTTTTCACATGGATTACAGGACTGAATTAATCCCAGATCTCCAGCTCACGTCATTCCTCTAGGAAACAAAACTGGGTTTTGGCTTTCAATTGCCAAAGTAATCTAATTTTGACACTATGGGTTCAACTCATTGATTATGCACTAAAAGTGGCTCCTTTAAAAACAAGTTTCAAGCAAGTTATATTTTGAAATGGTAGCAATTGAGCACTATGAAATTTGTGATTGTATGAACACTAAGTTTCAGTCTCAGAATTGTAGGACTGGAGGTTGTACTATACGTCATTGTGACATTTTTCTTTTTAGATAACATGGTTTGGACAGCACGTAGCATTTCAGCATCACAACAGGAGCAATATTAGCATTATTTCCTCCAGGATATTAATTAAAAATTCATTGTCTGTGAGGGTTTTTAAAAGCAACTAAGAGATCAGATACGCAGAGAGAAAAACTGTTACAGGTCAAAGAGTCATGGCAACTGTGCTGACAGAAGATTGTTTACCTTTAGTTCCATTTGAGGGAGTTAAAAGCTTATACAAAATTTAGGTTGCTAATGCACATTCTTTTAAAATTGCTGGCTCTTTCTTCTAGTGCCCATTTGGAACGTGCAGCTCCATGTTCTGTCTCAAGACACTGCATCTGGCTCAGTACATCCCTGAGCTACGTGCTGTTGTAAACCAGCAAAGTATGCCTAGGAACTAAATAATCACTACATGCTCACTCTACTCTTGCAGTTGACCTTCAACACCCCACTGTTGGTCATTCTTAGAGATAAGAACTGGGCAGGATGGAGTTTTATTCTGGCTCGGTGCAGCTTTGTCTATGCTCTTCCTGTAAATAAGTACCTTGACAGAGCTATTCAGTAAAAACAGGTATTTGCCCGAAGTGCTGGACTGAAGAACTTGTATTTTATTTATAAAATGAAGGCATAGCTGCAGCCAAGACTGCCTGTGTCATTGGTAATAGAGCTGTGCTCTTCTCTCACTTCACTTTTCAATGGCTTATCTAGTTTTCTCACTGTTGGCCTTTCCAAATTTGTGAATTAAGTTGAGGCAAGTGCTGTGAATGGGGAAAACAATGGTAGCTCAAGCTGGGTCACCATAGGGACAGCAGGGATCCTACCTGCTTCTCACTGGAATCTTAGGGTGTTTTATAGTCATTTCCACGTGGAAAAATGAAGAACTGCCTTGTGCCCTGCTACTTTATAAAAAGTCAGCAGGAAGAAAAGGTGGTATACTTAACTTCCCATGGCTTCTGAACAAGTCAGCATTTTGCTCCTCACCACCAATTTCCCACCCATGCCAATGGCTAAGGAGAACTGAAAGCAGAGTCGTAATGGGCCTGCAAAAGCATGGTCATGACCACCAGCAGTCTGCTCAGGGTAGAGCCTGTTACAAACAAGGGTTGGAAAGCGATCTGGAGTCACAGCCACTGCAGCTGAACTAGGATCACTACGCTCTGCTGTGGCCTTATCACATATGTGGGGAGGAAGGGGCTGAGTTGCTGACGCCCAGTCACAACTGTTGGAGACTTTGACAGCTCACCTTTGGGGAAAAAAAACCCGCCACTATTAATGCATAAACCATAGGACTAATATAATCTGAAAGGTAAGGATGTTGAAGATGAGCTGGTGTTATTCCAACTAGCCAAGAGTAAATGTATTTATTCTTGACTAGCATGTTCCAGAGGTGGCCAGCCTGAAACATGACCAAAAAAACGTTAGCCTCTGCAAGAGGAAAGAATGAGGAAATTTCCTGCTAACTGGGCCTTCCTGCCTCATCTAACTGGGCTGTAGCAGCTCCTGGACGTAAGATAGGACAGGCAATGAGCGAAACAGGAGAGAAGCCAGAGAGCTAAAGCAAAGGTGAAATGGAAAGAAGGGCATAAGGCAAGGGAAACCATCTACCTCGGTCACTAAGTCCATCAGTCCCTACACCACTCCTGGAATTCGCCCACGCACAGAGGGACCCTTCTGTTCTGACCACCTGTCATTTCCCAACATGGATTTGGAATTATTATTTCCATACCATACGGGTCATTGCTGAAAGGTGGCCATCATCACCACTCAGGTCTGGAAATGATGGTATATAAAACCATTCATTCTAAAGCCAAAGGCCTAAAACTATAGGAAGCTTGGAACAGATACAAAGTCAGACCCACAAAGCATAAACCTGAGCCGAAGACGGATTTCACTCAAGATGGATTCAGCCTCTTCACTCTGTGCTTTTCTGTACCACATCTCAGTAGTGTCCATCCCTGGATGATGCAGAGGACAGGAAGTCTGTGTCGTCAAAGCAAACCCTCTCCTGCCAGCCCACATCTTCAAACTGTACATGCAGCCGATAGCCAAGCGTGAAGCTTGTACTAGAGCGCCTCTTCCCTCAGAAAGGAACCAGACAGCATCTACGACTGACATCTCACCATACAACTTGATTAGACATGAAGGCAGCATGTAATTTGCCACCGTAGGTTGGCAGTGCAACATTCAGCAGTGGGACAAGGACAAAATGCTTCCGAGACCGTTCAAGCTTAAACCAAATTTTTTACTTTTTCAGTCTTCTTATTTTGCAGGCTTTAACCAGTAAACATCAGTTTAGACCCTAAGCAACACAAGAAAGCCTTAGAGATGAGCTGTCTTCAAAACAAACAACTACCTTTACCAGCAAGTCTGTATGCTTGGAAGGCAAGAAGAAATGACGACCTGCTCAGGTGTGTGAAGCCAAGTCATGATTTTAGCTTTCTCAAATGGATGAGCTATTCTACCTTCCTGTGTAAAGGGAACTGTAAGGTAAAGTTTGTATTTGGTTCCCCTTCACTCTGCCCCTCCCTTGCGTTACTTCATTTCTACCTCAGAGGAGTAGGTACTAAAACCAAGAAGAACTCCAGTGTGCCAAATGCTAGACAGTTACCCGAGAACCTCAGCTTAATGCTTACCAACATAGCACGGGAAATTACTTCTGAATATCAAAGTACTTACAAAAAATGAAGTTCATCCCAAGTAAAGTCCATTAAAAGATAAAGACAGTCCATTTCTCATCACCCCATGCAGCTCACCCTTTCTTGAAAAACCACCTGCCCTTTCCACGCCAGGAGCTGTGAGGAAAGCGACACCATAAGGCAAGCAGCACACTTCCATCACTATTCAAAGGGATACTATCAGCTCCACCAACTATTTCTTTTTAATAGTAAATTTGTTTGCCTCTTCGTTGCTTGTTTTCAAAGCACATGCTCAGAGGAGCCTGGATTTTTTTTTCATCCTTCCTACTGCTTCCAATTTGAGCAGTAGCTTCGTTTTCATGTTTTTCCACAGGGTCTGCTAATAAAACAGATGCAAATGTGGCTGCTATTTATTTACTTCCCTTACAGTGCATGAGCATCATTAGTAAGTCATCAGGACTGTAAAAAGCGCTCGGGGAATATAGCAGCCTTTGCAAGTTGGATGCTGCTGGCACAGCATGCATTTTTGGTTTCTTCCGTCAGAAAGAAGCGCAACCTGTGTTGGTCATTATTTCCATCCAAATGCTGCGGTTGGATGGTAGGTCCATTTCTTTTCACCTGAGCAGATTGAGAAG